TGCATATTATTATTATATTTAAGAGAGTAAAACTGACAAAAATATCGAGCTTACGTAATTTCTTTAACACGATTTAATGGTTAAAATTGGCCATTTAAATTAATTTATTCTTTAAACAAACCTACATTTAAGGCTTTATTTTCAAATATATATGTATATACTATATAAGTACTTAGATATTTTTTTCATGATATTTAGGTATACTCTTGGAAATAAAAACTTTTTTTTAATTAGTACCTATTTATCTTTTTTACTGTAAATTGTGATAAACAGATGATTCTTTTGAAAATTTTATTTTAATAGATGCATGCATCAATGTACCTTATTCGATAATTTAAATGACTAGTTTCTAAGTTATTAAACTAAATGCATTTAAGAATAATTTATTAAATGTTGTTAAATTAAAATAAGTACACCAAATACAGCGTTTATCTTCTGATAAATAATTCATTAAAACATCATAAAAATTTTTTACTATGAACTATAAAATAAGTTTTATTTGGTTTTCGAGTTAATTTAGGAGCGTTTATCCGTAAAATGATATTTTAGTTGGGTATACGCCGAAAATCGAAAATCTGCTGACAAGTATATGGTGTACCTATATTATTTTAAATTTATAGCACTACCACAAGCATGTGCTTAAAGTAGAAAGATATTTTTATTTTTCATCCGAAATATTAGGTAGGTATTACGTTAAACTCTGTATATTTTCTTTATGTACGATAAAAATAAAGAGCTATTTGAAAAAAATAAATGTATTCTTATCTATCAAAATGGTGGTGAAACTGTTAAATTGTATAAGTATAATCAATGATAAATGTATTAGATTAATATTACTAACCGAAATCGTACACCTTTTTTTCTTTTTTTTTTTGTATTTATTTTAGACCTTTTAGACCCATAACCGTTTCTACAATCTTCCTCTACGTTTCACTACGTGTTGCCATTTCTTCTCCATTCAGCACTCTGCCTATAATCTAAGGTTTTCTTTAATTTAATCTTCCACCGTTATCTTGGTTTTCCCCTTGGTCGACTTTTATTTGATTTCAATTTTGTGATTGTCCATATAAGTTGGCACTCTGTCCTCCAATCATGTCTTTAATCCCATAACCTTTGGTTATTGAGTATGGCTATTACAGGGGTATCATTGAATAGTGCATTAATTTTTTTACTATTTGACCGTATTTTGTAATCGCTTTACCCCTTTATAATGGTACTATAATCAATATTACTTTTTTTTGTTGAATTTATTGTTTGGAATGGATTTTGTATAGTAGTTTCTGAAGATTTTTGTAAACTTGACATTCGCAGTAATTTGCTTTGTGATTTCCTTCATAGATGACGCAGGTAACTGGTTGATTGTTAGACTTACTGCAAGTTGAAGTTAGATGGTTTGAGTCACGCCGAATGAAACTCGAGGGATATGCATAATAGGTTTTAGAGTATCTTTACTCTTGAAAGTTTGTGTTCTATATAATATTATGTCTTTTAAATGGTTCTTTTATTAATATTTTCATACTGAGTAATGAATTTAAGTGAAAGGTGTTACTGTTGATTTCTGTTAGTTCTAATTCAACGAACAAATTGGAAGATTATTTTTTGTGATTTTGTGTAAAACGTTTGTAACTTTACGAACTGTGTATCTAATTTATTTAATTTCAATGCTTATATCAACTGTTGAGGTAGATAGGTGTAAATTTCAAACCACTAAATAAAAGGATTCATCATCATGGACTTGAAACGTGCAATATCCCGCTTTAAGTATTTCGTAATCAACCTACCTAACATAATACTAAGAATAAAATAAATGGCTTTGATAGCTATTTATAAAAATGAAACATCATGAAATATACTTAGTGATATTAAAGGTTGACAGACAGTTTCCGTTCAAAAATCGTTTTTCGTATACAACGATATATCATCGAATTCAAATTTAACATACTTATAATAATGATCCACTCGACTTCTAATGTACAACATAGCGGTGCCCACTTGCCTACCTTTTTTACGTTTGGTATATGGATGAAAAATACTTGGATAAACAATCGGTATTAAAGTAAATAAATATTACTTTAACAATATTTCTTGGTATAATGTTTTGAATTTTTTAATGTACACTATATAGACTAAATAGTATAGCGTGTATTAATAATCTACTCTTATTATTTTTTTTTCTGTTTAAATCGACGATGCTGCGGGAACTGCTTTCGCATTACTTACACGGCGTAAATTAATAATCTATTCTAAAAATTAATATAATTACCTGAAAGTACTATAAAATGGTTTGAAAATGCAAAATAAAAGTGTCACCTCTGTAGTATTTGTTACACGAAACAATTATGTATTTGGAATGCATTGTCCTAGAGCGCTCAAAAATAATATTTTCAATGAAATCCAGGCTCTCCAATAATTACATATAATATACGGGTATAAATCACATAAAAAGTGAAATTATATAAATTTCGACCACTGTAGATCGTTTGCTGCGTCTCATTATTTCTTCTGAGGTGGAAAAAAATATACATAGTTACAAAACGTCTAAATAAGCTATAAACTTACGCTGTCTACGATTTTATAATCATGTTAGGTACATGATTATAAAATCGTGTATAAAATCATGTGTATACATGGTCACAGACGATACAGCGGCGCCGAAATGACGGGCCGGTGTGAACTTTCGAAGCCAAAAGATGTTTAATAATGATTAATGTTTATCATCGATACACATAGGAAAAGGTAATTCTTTTTGTTGTACAAAGACCGAAATTATCGTACGAAACGATCGCTCCGGTTTGAGTACTTATTATCTAAGCTCGGCGCCACTGGCTCGCGACGTTTTATGACGTACGTTGATGAGAAGGGGGTAACGGGTTTGAATTGGTAGGTCTCAGGTAGGAATATTGTTTGTTACGGAGTTATATACATAATTGTAATGGTAAAGCATTGGTTATTAAATTAATACGGATACGGGAACAGGTATACATTGCGTTTAGTTGTCCATAAAAAAAAAATATATATATATGTGTAGTGCCATTATAGGAATTATAAGCAGTACATTTTGTTGGTAAACCAGCTATATACCTGTATACCTGTATACGTATATAAACGAGAAAACTAAACACTCGGGAGTTAAAACATAAATTTTCAACGTACGTCATTGTAACATTCGATTATTATTATACAGAGGAACGGTATTTTTAATGAGAATGGAATCACCTGCAGAGATGCAGCTGTAGTAGAGCTCTATAAGGTAAGTATTATAAGTGTATATGACGTATAAATATACAAAAATAATATACTATGTGTCGTTATTATATTGTATTGAGCACCACAGAGGAACGTTTAAATGTCTAATAAATGCGACCATAGGTAAAATGTACACGTAAAAACAATACTTAGTTGAAAAAAAGTTATTTGAATCATTTTTATTTAATCACAATCACATATTCAATTTTATAGGCATACAAAAAAAAAAAAAAAAATCATAATAATTAGAATTATGTTAGTGATGTTTCACGACAAAACACTTTAGTACAATGTCATCTTAGCCCAACCGAGTGAATATATTAACCATAAACAAATTAGGTAATAACTAAGTTATCATGAAATCTTAACAGACTCTTTTTGTTTTAAGAGTAAACACTGCAAATTTCTTAATGTTAATACATCTTAAACTATTTATATAAATTCACCCCAACGGTAAGCACTAAAATTAAATTAAAACAATACAGTTTAATAGATCAACTAGGAGTATTTAATATATTATGTATCATTCATAATCATATATAATGTGCGTTTCTTATATATAAAGTTGGGAAATCTCTATAATATAATGGCCAGTGTTCTAATTAACATTTGTTTCAATACTTTGGGGTTGGTAAAAGAGAGTAAGGACCAAGCAACATTTCTTAACTACGTGAGAATTTGTGTGCTCTGTATATTATATATAGGTATATGTCATACATTTATTATTTTTTTACATATTTATATAATTTTATTATTACAATCATAAAAATATAATATAAAAATAATATAACGGTATATTATTGATGTCGCAAATAATATAACCATATGCAATATTTCAATGAGAAATTGATAAATATAATAATTAAGGGAATAATATAAAAAAAAGGAAAAATATTACAAATTAAAATAATATATAAAATGATAATAACTAAATGTATTGCTCGGCTTCTAGCTAAACCTTTTCAAAATATTAAACCCGAGGATTATTCTTTTAAGGAGAGCGGAAAGTTATCGGACAATATGCATAGGTACATAAATATATAATAATAATAATAATAATAAAAATAATAATAATAATAATAATAATAATGATTTAGCATATAAATTTTAGACCATTATAGTTATATTATACACTAGATAATAAAAAATAGCGTTTATAAATGCAGAGCGATAGCACGTCAACAATTATACTATGGAAGATTATATTGTTTTTTCATATATTTTAAATTTAATAAAACAGTTGAGTGTTGTTGTACGTAAAGTTCTTTTCGAGACAATAAAATATTTACGAATATTATATAGTATAACATATATTATGTATAAGGAACTTTTCTGTGATAAATAAGTCTATAACAAAAGATATGTTATATAGGGGAGGGGAGAAACAACTGTGATAAATTCATAAAATAGAGAATGTTTTTATATTCATTCGTTTTGTGGTTCTGGAAATATAAAGAACTTGCTCGACTAGCGTTTCTACACATGTTCTTTTCGTTTGTAATATAGCTTATCATTTCACACCACCAACACCGTGCTAAAGCTGAACAAGTCAACATTTTTATTCGTAAATAGATATTTTCCACCACTGTGGTAAACGTGTTATTGATTACACTTCATTGCCAGACCGATTTATGTAGCATTATAAATATAATGATATTTATGCATAATATCTTAATAAATAAAATGGAAAGACAGGAGGTCACAAACATATACATATTATATAAGTTTGAGGTATATTATCATCATTTTTTATATTTTTTTTTTTTATTTGTATATAGATTAATTTACATTATATAGAGAGGAGGAATTAATTAACTGTAGGATGTACCTCAAGATCCTATGTTCTATTTGCATACGACAAAGGGTTGTTATAAATCGATTGATGTGTTAGTGAATGTCTGTTTATATGTAGGGGGAAAAATGCATGTTAACAGCAAACGACTGATTCGAGTTAAAAGAGATGAAGAAGATGATGAGGCCGTGAGAGGAGAAATGCAGGATTTATGGTGGCGATGATGGTGTGAGAGGGGGGTGAACGGGATGTTGAGGGTATGGGTTTGTGGGTGGAGACCTAATGTAGGCCGAGAAATTCCGTGATACTATTTTGAATCCATTGGGAAAATGCCTGCCGTTTGGCCGACGCTCCCGTTTTCTCTAGGCCTAACGCACAATCGGCCAAATAATCTTCGTTGCGCACGCAGAAGTAGCTCTTGATCGGGCTGCGGCACATCGGGCATGTCTCCAGCTTGCCGAAGCACGATGCGCAAATGCATGTGTGACGGCACGGCAACAGAGCTCTTGATAGTGGGTAGTATTGGCATACAACGCACAGTTGTTCCTGACCGGTGTTAAAGCTGCTGCCACCGCTGTTGTCCAAAACGACAGCCCTCTGTGACGCGTCATCGTTGCAGGCATCGTCTTGATAACTGAGAGCGTTGCCGGTTGCCAAATACAGTTGCTGTAGGGGAAAAACAATTAAACACAAACGCACACATGTATTACATAATAATAATTTCATAAAATACATGAAGCCCAAATGACCAACAATAATATATAATATTTATAGAAACAATAATTGACTTTAAAGAGGAAAGAAAAGAATAAATAACGTGTATAAGGTGTAAATTTCTACAGAGTCTGCACTGGTCATACGAGTAATGTCGTAATGTTGTGTCGTTTAGTTGAACATATATATAGTATGCATAATATTGTACAATAATATGTAACTTGAATATATTATGTATCATGTACTTATACACAGTATACAGTATTAGTACCTAATGATTTGTTACATGGTTTTCCGCGAATTTTTGTCTGAGTATTATTAAGTTTGGGATATTAAATCAACAACTAAACAAGTATAAACATTAACAAACAATAACTTTGATTAATTTTAATTTTAAATTTGTTTTATAAAGTTTTATGTAAATTTTACTTCATAAACATGGTATAATATCATAGGCGGAAATAGGAAGGTTATACCCCCAAATATTTTATTTCCCACCCTCTAAAAAAATAAACTGTTTAAAATACAACTTCATATTATAAATTTATTTATAGGCTCATATTAATGTTAAAAATGTTAGACTTCTTTGAAACATTAATGGTTTCCGCCCATGTATTGTATTATGTAAAGTTTAGTATACATAATATATACATAATTATAAATGTGACCAACTGTTATCACAAATATTTCTATAATGAAAATACTTTTAGGTTTAATCATGATTGAAAAATTATATTCTTTTGAAGATTATCCTCTATTACCACATAAAAATGGCATGAAACGTACAAATACATCAATATTCGTAACGTATGTAATGTAGGTACCTATATATTTAATTTACTTTGCGTTATATAAATTAATAAAGATTATTTTGTTAAACTTAAAATAAATATTTTTTCAAAATATAGTCCATAAAAGGATAACGTTTAAAAAAAGTTATCATTAAATAGTGCTAAATTTTTATTTTTATAAAACATAATATCTAAATAATATAGACATTTCACGTAAATAATTGAAATTTATCTATTAGGCATTTACGAGTATATGCTTTGTGATATATTAATAAAAAATCAATCATAATATTGTGAAAATAACTAAAAAAAAAAACCGAATTTTTTAGTTTATTCTTTTAACAGACAAATATAATACTAACATAGTATGAGACAGTGGACGTTAATGGAACTATCGATAAAATATCAATAAAGTCTAAGCGTTTCTCTAATACTTTTTTCGATCATTTGTGTGTTAATGGGTGATGCCCTTTAAAATGCGTGAATAATTTATCTATAATAGTTAGCGATCCAAATAACTCATAGTTCATACTAATCATACTGAATGCTTAACATTTCTTAACCCAGTGTACGCTGAATGTATACTGCCACTGCAGGACGACGACGATGCAGATGCAAAATAGAATAGTGTCAAACAGTTCATAGTCATTACGAAGTAAGATACAACGGGACTTGTATCGAAATTTCTCAGTTGACCTCAAACGGAATGGAATAAATAAGTGTGGAAGCTCTTGACGGAAATAAATGATATTTAATGTTATATTTTTTTAAACTACTTACTAGCCATTTATTTTAAGAATGTTGATAAAATGATTTGAGTTGTAGCTAAAAAATTACCAAACATCTAAAATATATTGATGGCAAATTGACAAATGTGTACACAGAATATAAGTACATTTAACACAATTGTAAAAGATAGTTATAAATTTTTAATTTGTAAAAATTAAACCATTATCTCTAGACGTGTTGATAGTTTCATGCACCAAATAACAGGAGAAAAATTAAAATATAAGGAAAGAGAGTCATTTTTTCTATCTCTTTATTACTTTGGCGATATCAGTTTATTATATTATCTTATAGTTCGTAGTAATAACATAACATAAGTATCTAAATGATAGATAACGCAGGGTATACTAACCACAATTACCGCATTGCTTATATCCAATGCCAATGGTGTCATTTCATATAGTTCTATGGTCCTCATAGATTGGGATGAAAATAATCCTAATATATAGATAGTCAGATAGAAGTACCAAAAACAACAACTATATTATTCGTTTAAATACTTTTTTTTGTTTTATACATGATACGGCTGTTGATTTAATTAATTTTAAAAGGAGATTTAATTAATTAGGAGATAGATCTTGCTAATACAATAATTGACACAACAGCCATCACAACTTATATACCAGCACATACTACGTATGCATTTCAAAGCGATACGTACATAATATACATAAAAATATAATGTACGAAGTACTAACCTTTAATGATGACAATTGTCCATTTGCTTGTTTCAGGTATTGCGCTAAAATGTTAGTGGGTAACGTGCAAACGTTATCCCGGATATGTACTACATTCACCAATGCTACCTAAAAATCCATGACAAATATTTACACATACCAATTTAAGAATATTAACCTATCTATGCATAAAATATGCACTAAGAATAATATTAGGTACCTATTGCAGGTTATATTACATATTATTATAGCCACATTTATAAAAGTAATATTATAAAGTTATAATGTAAATTATAATGGTAAATCGTATCGTCTAGACTCACTGTCTCGTCTGGATGTAAAGTAGAATTTTCGGGAGTGTCACGTATGAGGAATATAACCAAAGGATAACAATGTCGAGGAGGTGTTCCCAAATCCAATTTTCCCTCTGGCATAAACATCTGAATGGTTTTTTCTGTATGGCTTGTTTCGCTAAACATTATAATAATTAAGGATATTTCAAGAAATTTAATTTAAATCAACAGAGTTATAGACAGATATGTTAATAAAACTGAAAAGCCGCTTAATTTATCAAATATGTTTGTCAGCGGTGCTTATAATATATAAATATTGATTTTAAAGGATACTGCAAAGTTAATCCGCAATGTTGGTAATGTCCACGGAGTAATGAATCGTCGTTGACGGCTGTCTGAAATGAGCTCCATGCTTTCCACAGGAAATGATGAAGTTCCCGGATAGAAACGCCCCAAAATGCTTGCAATGTATATGGAACTTGGCTTGAGATTGTGCATCGAAGATCTGTAAAAAAATTTATAAAAATCTATAAAAATAAATTATACATGGTTTTTATTTAAAATTGTTGGTGAATATAATGCCAAATAAGGGGTTAATGCTGTAAAAGATATCTTAAAAATAACATAATTTAAAAGTATTCAAATACTTTGTAAAAGTTATTTTAATTTTTTAAATACGTTAGTCATCAGTCATCATTATTTAATCATATATGATATATACCTATTGATGCAATAGCTTCACGACAATGGCCCCAAGGGCATGTTTGTTGGGACTATTATTAATGGCGTGCATAATACAATAACCTCGAACTAATATATTAACTAGAGTAAGTACATAAACAATTGAATAAAAACTCCGCAATTCATATTTTTTTCAAATGAAAAAAAACCTAGTCAAACAATAACCTTTAAAGCATAGTTTAACAAAAAAAAAAAAAAAAAAATAGTCTTTTAGTAATGTTCATTTAACGTTTTTCCATTACATATTTTTTTTAATGTCGAGTAAATTATTATATTTTAATTTTAATGGTTTTATGAATAACCCTTACTAACATTAAAGTATGTTTAATAAATATAAACAACAATAGGTCCAATTAATATTTATCATAAAAATCGAACGATTTAAATTATAAATCTTCATTTACGGAACATAATATACCTACATCATTCAAGTCATAACCTAAATAAATCTATGAACATAATTATTTAAGTATTTAATAAATATTTATATTCAAAGATAATTATAATCATATGATATTAAAAGAATAACAATAAGGATAGATTATTTTTAAGATTTATATTTTTCAATAGTTTTTATTGTATAATAATAGAAAATACACGTACAATTAATATGGTAATTCGTTGGTGTATAATGTAAACTATACAAAGCAGACACAGTATAAACTTAATAAAAAAAGTTTAATTAATGTATAATCGGCCATTTAAAATTAATATCCAGCGGGCTTATTTAAATATCGACGATGCCAAAAATAATAACTTAAATAGTAATTATAATTTAACAAAAATAATTTATCAAATAAGAAAAGATTTTAAAATCGATTACATCTTATTCATGCTGAAAGGTTTGGACTCGATTTCGGCACTCGTCCAGTTGTATTTTTACTACCGGAATACCATTAAACAAGATCAACGAACGAAAAACATGTCGCACTATTATTATTATTATCAGTGTTCACACTCTCTTCACATATGTTCTTCTGAGAAATTTGATATTACATTTTTTAAACATGTTTTTGACGATTTCGTCATACGCTGACATAAGTACGATTAATTTACTACTCAGAATCATAATGTGTACATATAAATATAAAATATCAAAAATAAGACTACCTATTTAATATATTTTATGCTACATACACATATGTATATAGTACTGTTTTATATTTTGACAGGTGTTTGAATCATAGTCAAAATATATTGATGAATATTTTTAGAAATTTCTGTAAATGCTTTAAACAGAAAGTCTAATGGATTTTATACAGTAAAAATGAATATGGGTACTAGCTTAAAATAGAATTAGACTTACAAAGCAACTCGTGAAAGCTAAGAATATAAATGCGAGTGTCAATCAAATTACTTAATTCTGAAAACACTAAGACAAGTTGTAAGATTAAAGTGTCATTATATAGTGAGAAAATTAAATATATTTTATCAATTTAAGTGTTTTACTACCCACGTTCATTTTATTTTTTTGAAAAATTATTTATACATTTAATATACAAATGTATCATAAAGTATTGTAATTTTATAAATTTGACATAAAAGTTAAAAGAATATAACTTTCAAAAAAGTTATTACAATTTATATTATATATTTTTAATGTACATAACATTCAATACACAATATAACTAGGGTTCAGGAATTGTTACACAAAAGATATTCGAAATATGCATTCAAGATTATCGAAAATTGTAGTACATTATGCAGATAATTCTTATTTATTTAATAATTACGAAAAAAAAGTAAAATTTGATAAAAAAAATAATATAAAATTGAAGTAAACAATTGTGTTAATTATTAATAATTAAAATTTGTGACTTATTCCACTAGAAATGTTCAAAATATTCATAATACGAATAAGATAATTTAAAATTACGTAAAAGGTTATATGTGGCTAAATTAAAGAAAAAACGGCATTAATATGAAAATAAGTTTTAACATGTGATAGTAATAACTGATAATTGTTAAAAAAAAATACCTTTTGAATTTGTCGATTGTGCTCTTTTACAAAATACAAATAAATATATATTATAGACAATGGACATAAACCTTAATTTGTATTCAATAATTAATTATGGTAAAATCTGTAAAAAAAATTATACTTTTGAGAAAATTTATATTTAACTTTATAAAAACAGTTGACTTTTTTTAAAAATGAGTTAATAAGTGATATCATGACATGTATCGTACAACATATTTTATTGTTAACTTTATGTTCTAAAACATTTGAATAATGCCTTGAATTTAAATTCATAAATTCATTATTAAAAATTGAAGTAATCTTTGTTTCTTATAATAATATTTAGCATTTAACAAATAAAATAAAATTGGCTACATTATGTAGACAATTTCAACATAATTAATTTTTAAAAATCTAAATTAATTATATATCCAAACTATAAAATTTTATCATTTTTAATGTATATCAAAATAGATATTACAATAGAAAAAACAATTTTTTTCTTAACATTTTAAGCAAATTACTTGTCTTAAAAAGAACTTAATTGGATTTAAGTGATCGTTGTTAGGTAAATTAAGTTGCTGTAAAGACTTAATTCAATTTTTAAAAATTGTTAAAAGTATTTTTTTGTCAAAGATCAAAATATTTATTTAAAACTTTTATTAAATATAAAGATTATTTTTACTAAAATAAGTCAATATTCAAGAAACGAATTTCAAGCCTCAAGGTTACTATGAATTTTAAGCAAATGAAAATTATTTGTAAAATGTATTCATTAGTATACTTAATTTATTATTTTACCCGGAAAAACAAATTTATCGAGGTTACTCGATACCTACATATTAAGTATATAATTTAAATATTTAATGAAAATGTTTTTATTAGTTGCTTTGTAACTAGAACATATTTTATTTAATACAAAATAAATTAGAAAGTATTCACTCCCAAAACCCAACATAAATAAAAGTCAAGATTTTATGAAGTTTTTTCAAAACGAGTATTAGATATATAGGTATGTGTGTAATATTAAAAATTTACAACGACGGACCCAAATATTTATAAATACTTTAGAATATAAGGTATTTAAATTTGTTGTATAACAAGATCGGTAACCTTTTATTTAAGTATTTTTAATTCTGTAAAAATACTCACAATGCATATCTCATCTTTCACAAATTAATTACTTGATATTAAAATTTGTATGATAAGTATATAATAATAAAAATAAATCAAAACTAATTTTAAGTTTCTGTAGATATTTAAAGTAATATGTGGTATTAATTACAAAACCAACCATCTTTACAACAAAAGAAAATTTGAATACAGATTAAAAAAAAAGTAAAAAATAGATAGCAGAATTAGAATTTTAAACAATGGTGGTAACAAGATAGTGGCAAGGGTGGTAATGAGATAACATGAAGTTAATAATAAAATATCAAAATAAAAATAAAAGTGAAATAATATATATATGCTTAATTTGATTTATTGAATATATACAATTAAAAAGTTGGTTTTATTTAAATTAGTTAAACTTGCTGTGAATAGTAATTGCAAGTTAAGTCATTAAATACAGGTTTTAAATTGTTCTCAAGCTTTAACAAGAAAAAAAATTCTACAGGAATTATTTAATAAATACAAATTTATAAAAAAGTAACAGTTTTTTAAATAGAGAAAAATATTAATTTGGAAGATGTACTTAAGTAACAATTAATTGCATTTTTACCCTGTCTGTTTCCAATAATAATAATAAAAAAAATGCAAGAAATTTAAATGTTATATTATTTATTAGAAGTATTTGAGATATAATCGGGTGTATAGTAAAAGTTTCATTTGTTTCTTAGAGGCGATTCTGGTTTTAGAGAAATACACATAAAAAATACTATAATATAGTTTATATACTATGTACGAATAAAAAATAATAAAGGTAGATGTTATAATAAAATAATAATATAGATCTTGTTCTGAATCTTGTTTAAAGTAATATGTAAAATGTTCAAGTACTTTCCATTAATAAAATATAAAATATTACATTGTTTTATTAGTGTTTAATTACTAATGCATCTTAAAGATGCTGTCACACTGAAGCATTTCGTTAATTTTGTTTCAATGATATAATTAATCATATAATTTTCATCGTATTCATTTTAAACTTACTGAATTATGTTGTATTTTTTTTTTTTAATAAATCTGCGTAATAAGAAACAAAAATATTTATGCAATACCATAATTATATATCTATATAATAAAAATTTCAATTTTTAAATTGGAAGTAATATTTATTCTATACATTAGTCTGCATCAACTTTGTCATATTATTCAGTAGTTTGTGTACGATCGGCAGTTTTCATGAAAAATTATTTTTAAAAGAAATAGTATGAAATTGTACCTATACAATTCTCGGTTGTCATTAATCAATCTACATCCGAGACTTAAAAGATTTGTACAACGATTCTTGTTTTATCATCAAAATGATTAATGAGAATGTTCAAGACGGCTTATAACTATACGTAAATTGTATATTAGAATCGTTAAAATAACGAATTCCAGCGACTACTTTAATGAAATTCATACTACGGTAAATTTTGCTAGAACGTTTCTCATTAAACTACTGGTATTAACAATTTAAGAGTAATCATTAAGTATATCTATACATAAAAACAATCAATTTTTAATTTAATTTCCAATTATTCCGTTATTTATTATTTATTCATTTTAAATAAATACCAAATGCTTTAGCAGAAGTTATAAAAAAAAGTCAAAATATATGTTATATTGTAAAGCGTTTTATTAAAAATATTTTTCTG